ACCATCCCCCCGGGGCGGTGATTTCTCACTTTCTGTCTCTCTGGCAAGTACACACGCCCTATAGCAAAAAACAAAACCAAAAAACTCTTAAAAAATAAGAAAAACAAAGCTGAGGAATTCCCCTTCCTTGTCCCCTGGAAGAGTGTAAGATGGGTGCTCCCCTAACCCTAACATTTGGTCTGACTCACTGATGACGCCTACTGGTTCTGGAGAATGTGGGAATGTTCTTTTTTTTCTTTTCTTTTGCCGGAGGAAATGTGTGCTAACCAGGGAGGGAGAGGGAGAAAGCAGCCGCAGTGGGACAGGGCCACGACGCAGTCCCTTCTCCCTTTCCCATCCTGCTGGGGTCTGGGGCACGTTTCGGAGCCGTGGGGGCTGGGATTCAAACCATGTGGGATCCGGCTCCCTGAACCAGCAGGCCCTGCGGACCCTGGCAGCGCCTGTCAATAACGGACTGTGGAAGCCCAGGCCTTGTTTCATGCCGGGGGAGCTCCGTGCCCTCAGAAGTGGCCGTCCGTCTGCGCTGGCGGGTTCTACCTGAAGACGGCACTCACCTGCACCCCTGGTACTGCCTCCTGCCCTGCTCCTAGCACACTCGCTCGAGATCTGTTCACCAGTAATCGTTTCTAAGAGCCAGTTTCTGCTTTTGCCAGGTTTTGGCTATCCTGTCTCAGCGTAGTCCATGCCCTTGTCATCGGGACCCTTCTCTGGCGGGGTGTGAGTGTGGGAGGTTAGGTGGCGTCTCCTGTGGCAGCCTTCTGAGTATGGGGCCACCACACCCAGCTCTCTGACAGGTCTCCCTGGGTCGCCCCCTCTGGCCGCAAGCTCGCCATCCTTCAGCCTTGGCCTTCCAAGGCGCTGGGACTGTGGGTGCCTGCCCATGCCCAGCTCTCAGGGTGGGCCAGGACACAGCGGGGCCTCCCTGTGACGTGGGCCTGCTGGTGGCAGTGCCCAGCACACACCCCTACCCGGGCCCACTTTCTCTGCACGTCTGCCGAGCTGCTCTCGCTCTGACTTGTGCAGGGGGCCCTCTGGTGTCCGTGGTCTCTCACAGCCTGGCGTGGGCTGTCGGCCGCTCAGCTGGCTAGAGTCTGAGCAGTGGGCAGAGTCCAGGCCTGTCCCTCCCCTCTGCATCAGGACAGCTTCCCTGTGGGGAGGAAAGGTTAGAAGCAGTTAACTCTCCCTGCGCACTGGCACGTCCCGGGCGCCATCAGCCGCTCTTGACCCTCGGCCTCTGACTCGCACGGACACGGACTAGGGCGTCTTTTGTGGGTGTCTTTTGAAACTTGTTTCTTTTCTCTGTGCGCCATCTTCCCGCTGTGAGCACTGGGGCCAGGACGCACATCCTGGGACAGCTTTTCCTCGGTCCTTCCCGCCGCCTGCTGGGCGCCATTGCTCATCCTTGGAGCTCAGCTAGAGCTGGTGTGTGGGGAGCCTGCCCGGCTCTGGAGGGCCCTGGTGTGAGTGCAGAGGGGCCTTCCCGCTCCTGGCCGCCCCGCTGCCTCAGCACCTGCCGGCCGGGGGGC